GTGCACGCTCCTTTCTGCTGCCTTCCAGGCAGGCAGAGAGGGCCAGGAGCCCAAGGCCCGTCACACTTCTCAGGGGAAAGGAGAGGAGCTACATCCTGGGACACATTTCTTATATGTGACCAAAATGTTTGTACCCCCATAATATTCTGAAATAAAAAAAATAATAAATAATAAAATTGCAGGCCATTCAGTTATAGGATTGGCACTTTCTTTGGTCCTTTCTTACAAGCCAAGGAGTTACTTCTACAGGACCAGAAGTGAATGGAGTAAGCTGAGATAAGAAAAGACATCACACCAAAGATGAACATTAGCCAAACAATTCAGAACAGCTACTTTCCAAGTCCTCACCCGGCGGCCTCTTTATAAAAAGTGGCCCTATCAGAAGTTATAGCATTACCCCGTGGACATCTAAGGCATGTCCGTGTGAATGGTTATCTGCATGCAGATGGTGGGCCTTTCTGCACGGCCCTACAAAACCCAAATTAAAGTCAGAGGAGGGCCAGGCACGCACTTACCTCCTCCCCTGGCACGAGTCGTGCACCTTCACTAATGCTGGCATGTACTGACAGTGAGGGCAGGTGGAAGCAGAAGGGGTTTCTGGTGGCATTTTCTTTTTTGTTCTTTGACACTTTCCAGCAGGGCTTTATGGAATAGCAAAAAAGTTCTTGTGTATTTCAAAAGCCCAACAGTAGCTCTGGAAGTTAGAGAAACAAGGATTGAGAGCAAAGGGAGAGAACAGATGTTTGTAGGAGGAAAAGTGACCAGCTCAGCCAGAAGGGGGAGGAACAGAAGGAGAAGTATATGAGTCTGCTTAGGCTGCCGTCACAAAGGGCTACAGACCGGGTGGCTTAAACAACAGAAATTTATTTTCTCGCGATGCTGGAGGCTGGAAGTCTGAGGTCAAGGTGTCGCAGGGTTGGCATCTTCTGAGGCTTCTCTCCGTGGCTTGTAGGTGGCCGTCTTCTCCCTGTGCCTACACATGGTCTTCACTCTGCCTGTCTGTGTCCTAATCTCCTCTTCTTATAAGGACACCCGTCATATGGGACTAGGGCCACCTTAATGACCTCATTTTAACTTCATTACCTCTTTAAAATCCCTGTCTTCAAATACGGTCACATTCTGAGGTCCTGGGGTGTAGGACTTCAACATAGGAATTTGAGGGGACCCAGTTCAACCATAACAAGGAGAGATGGAAGCTGCGCCTGGGTAAGCAGGCCTGGTCTCACTCCTCCCATCCATCCTCCTTCTCCCATCCTCTCCCTCACGTGCTGTCCCAAATGAGCAACAGATGGGCTGCCACCTGAGACACTAACTAAGGAGCGCACGTACACCCCTGCTTAATGAAGCCTGCTCAAGACCACTTCTAATTGCAGAAAATCACATTTTTCCCCCCTCCCTCCCACCTGCAGAGCCATAGATATGCAGAGATTATTTTGCCTGCGAAGAAGGCAAGCAAAAAACCAACCCACCCCAGGGTTTATGCCCAAGAGAGAAACAATGCTAACCGAGCAACACATTTTTGGAGCCAGCAGGTTATGCAACATTTACAAAATCATGTTTCCTCCACAAGGAATGGTACTTTTTAACTTGCAGATATTTCTCCTTACCTATTAAGGTTTACATTCAGTGAGAACACATCCACCCTTGAACACAGGCTGTCCTTGACAATGCTGGTGTCACCATTTCCTCAGCTACCCTTGTCTTGCCTGGCCTCTATTTTGGTGACATAACCTTAATAAAAAGCTCCACAAGTGGTCCTGTTTTCAGGACTCCCTGGAACTTAACCCTCTCCCCACTGACTTACGAAACCCTTATTTGTCATTGCTGTTATTGCTCTCGGTGACCAGAACAGGCAGTGGCTTCCATGGCTGTATTTGGGGCTTGCTGGGTCAGTGGTAGTGCTTGGGAGGGGCTGGAGCTGGGTCTCGGGATGACCGGTCTGCTTTCCCGTTAGCCCATGACCACTTTCCAAACCCCTGGGCAGCCACCACCAACCTGCCCTGTCATTCACAGAGGGTGTAGGGGATGGGGAGCGGAGAGAGGAAGGTAGCTTAGCTCAGCCTTTACTTCCAGACGGTCATCACGAGCTGTCTTCTGCTCCTTGCTAACGGCCAAGACAATCTGGAGCAACTTCCCTTTCTGTGGTTTATATTATAAAAGCCTGACATGCTTTCATCTGTTTTCCAACTAAATTTATATTAAATAGGTTTTTGCACACTGTACACTTTTCCTTTCCCAGAGCGTGGGTCCCTCCTTGATGGGGAATCACTGGTTTAAGGTGACTCCTGCCGTCCCTCTTCACTAGGAGCTACCCTACCATCCAGGGACCCATCTCAGGTTTATTCATCTGTCTTTATTTCACCCACGGGAGCCAAAATATCCCAGACCTAGCAATGGAAGGATTTCTTCTGGTCTCAGCTCTACCATTTGCTAATAACCTCCCGTGTCCCTGAGCAAGCCACTCAGGCCCTCTGGACTTCTCACTCTCACCTGTAGGATGAGGGAGAGGGATTACCTGGGCATTAAGATTCTTTCAATGCTGAATGTGTAGGATTCAACCACAGATAAAACAATTTAGCCTGAGGACAGAACGCTGAACCAGGCCTGATCACTTGAATTATAGAGCCCACTGTGATGGTAAATAAACAAGGACTAAGAACAGTGATGTAAAAGTCGTCTCCTTTGAACACAGCTGGGGACTCGCCCCCCCCTTCTAATCTGAATCACCGGTGGCTGAGGCTGGGGGACCAGAGTCCTGGCTGATGTGCTAAAAGGGCTGCCAGCTTCCTGGACGCCTGCACCGGGTCCAAGCTTCTGTGGTTCTGCAGCTTCTGTGTCACTGTGAGAGACGGGTGCATGCTCCTTTCTGCTGCCTTCCAGGCAGGCAGAGAGGGCCAGGAGCCCAAGGCCCGTCACACTTCTCAGGGGAAAGGAGAGGAGCTACATCCTGGGACACATTTCGACGCTCTCCGTGTTATTTCTTCCTCTCTTACGGATGTGTCTGCGAAGAGTGGGGCACATTGTAACAACAGCAACAGCTCCCACTTACTGGCATTCTACCAAGTGCCTGATAGCACCATGCGAGGAGCATTTTTTTTCCTGATAAAATTTTTGTTTTTAATGTCAGAGTATTACAAAGGCACAAACGTTTTGGTTCCATGAATTGCTTTTTTACAGTTTGAGTCCCAGGTATAAGCGTGTCCATCACCCACATAGTGTGCATTGTACCCGTTAGGAGTGAATTTACCCATCACTTCCTCCCCCTCCTACCTGCTCAAATTCTGTTGGATTTTACTAGCATATGTGCACATGAGTGTGGATCAATTAGTTCCAATTTAATAGTGAGTACATGTGGTGTTCGTTTTTCCATTCTTGTGATCCTTCGCTTAGAAGAATGATGTTGAATATTTATAGCAGCACAATTCACAATCACAAAGATGTGGAATCAGCCCAAGTGCCCATCAGTACATGAGTGGATCAGTAAAATGTGGTATATGTATACCATGGAGTATTACTCAGCCAGAAGTATTTTTTTTTTTTTTTTGAGACAGAGTCTCACTGTGTTGCCCGGGCTAGAGTGCCGTGGCGTCATCCTAGCTCACAGCAACCTCAAACTCCTGGGCTCAAGCGATCCTCCTGCCTCAGCCTCCCGAGTAGCTGGGACTACAGGCATGCGCCACCATGCCCGACTAATATTTTCTATTTTTAGTTGTCCAATTAATTTCTTTCTATTTTTAGTAGAGACGGGGTCTCGCTCTTGCTCAGGCTGGTCTCGAACTTCTGAGCTCAAACAATCCGCCCGCCTCGGCCTCCCAGAGTGCTAGGATTACAGGCGTGAGCCACCGCGCCCGGCCTCCAGCCAGAAGTATTTTTTATCACATTATCTGCGCTTTACCACAACAGAATCAGGAGTAGATAATGAGCCTGGTGTTCTCAGGTAAGAAACTGAGACACAGAGAAATTCAGAGACTTGCCCCAGAACACCAGTAAGTGGGAGCCTGGATTCAAACTCAGGCCGCCGCCTCCAACCCAGGCTCATCCTGCTGCCCCCACAGAAGGACTCATCGTCTTTGCAGGTAGCAGTGATGAAACGTGGGAATTGCCTGGTTGTTGATTCCCTGTAACTCTGTGGGAGCTTCCCACAGCCTCCTGCACTTCCCTGGGGCATTTTTTTTTCCCAAAAAATTTTTGTGGTAAAATACACCTACCATAAAATTCACCATTTTAATCATTTTTAAGCATACAGTTCAGTAGCATTAAGTATATCCACAATGTTGTACAACCATCACTGTTCTTTCCAGAACTTGTCACCTGGAGGCTTTTGACTGTTCTATTTATTTGATGTCTGCCTTAGAATCATCACTGAGATTCCCATAAAATAATCCTTGATGATGCCCCTCGACTCTCCTGTGACCCCTCTCTCAGTGTTGTCCAGGGGTCAGGAGAGGCTGGTTTTATAATAATCCTTCAGCAGTTGGAGCTGTCATTTTGCTAGAGGAGGTGTCTTGGAACCAGTAAATGCACGGGCTTTTCTCTCTGGGGCCAGCCCTTCCTTGGTCTGGCAGCTATGTCTCGAGGGATTCCGAGGGTCCTCTCTGGGACCTGTTGCATGGGAACACTGCAGCTCTTTGGTTTATCTTTGTTTGCAGGAATTCGGCTGACAGATGAGCTGGGCCCTAGAAAGAGATCTGCTTTATACCTTCCAGGGGGATTATTTGGCATTTATGGCTTCAAAGAAGTAATTTCTGAGACCCAGCTGTGGGCTTTATTTCTCTCTTGATCCATTTAAACATCATTCTCTGTATCTTGTTGCCAGTTGCTTGCTCTGGTCCCATACAGAACGTGACTGTTAGTATTGGCTACTGGTGGCACCCTGTCTTACTGGTTGCTGTAACTACCACATGCTCTTTATATCCAAGCTGTTTGCATATCCTGGCAGATGGATGGTATTGATGATCTTTGGCTGGACTATGGTGAAACAAACTCTATTGAATGGAAAATCTTATATTACATTCCTAGCCCTTGTAAATTTTGGTTTCTTTTAGAAAATGAGAATTGTTTTTAGCATTTTTTAAATTTTAGGCATGAGTGTGTTTGAAGGCAATGTTTGTGTGTTTGGGGTGAAATGTGCTTCCCAAGGGACGTGGAGCAAGGACTGGGCTTGGGAATAGACAGAAAAAGGCAGTTGTCCCCATAGTAAGTGACCACAGCAGTCCTAGGATGGCCCTAGTGTTCATTAAAACCTCCTGCATGCACTAGCCATGGCCTGGAACTCCAGATGCCTGGCTGTACACACAGCCTAGGAGTGGAGGAGGGGTGGGAAAGAAAGGACTTCCACTCACCTTCCAGGCACCAGGCCCTATGCTAAGCTGCTTATCCATCATGTCTCATTTAAACCTTAGAGCACATTCGGAATATATTTGCTGTGATGTGCACTGTTTTATTCCCTTTTTACAGAGAAGCACGTGGACTTAGGGAGGGCCAGGGACTTGCCTGGCAAGTGCCAGAACCGAGAGAGAGCCCACTCTTTCCAATAAGCTGTCCTTTGCTTGAATGGGAGAGGACCTATGGGGCCCTGGGCAGTTTTAGGGTGGGCACCAAAAGGACCCCACAGAGGAGGGAGCTATGAGGACACTGAACAGGGTGGTTTGCCCAGATGGAAAGGATTGAATTGCAGGGTGAAGCTCAGATTCTTCAGCAAAGCTGTTGAGAAGGAAAAATAAAATGAGGGCAGTCCTGAGCCAGGACTGCTGAGTAAGAACTAGCAAAAAACCTCTGCCATCTGCATCTGCAGTGCTGCAGGGCGTGGACAACTCGCTGGTGGGCCTGCACAACCAGAGCTTCGCCCGAGTCATGGAGCAGCGCCTGGCCCAGCTGTTCATGATGTCCCAGCAACAAGGCCGGCGGTTTAAACGGGCCACCACCCTGGGAAGCTACACTGTACAGGTAGGTGCGTGCAAAGCCACTGATAACTATAACTATGGGAGAATGTGCTTCCTTAAACTAAATAAATAAATGTGTACAGAGGAGCGTCCATGCTGCAAACTTTAAAATTAAAATTTTAAAAATTAAATTAATTTAGTCAACACTGCTCTTAGGTTTTGGTGTTGATGGTCATAACCATCAAAAACATGAAGGAGGGTGAGAGCTACTCCTCCTACCTTGTCACTAACTAGATTATAAAGAAAGGAGGTCTCAGAACAAAATCTGCACAGATGCAGGTATTTATGAAACAAAGGTCTTAGTAAGCAAGCACAAACTTGTCACCAGCCTGTTCTGTAAGCTCAGTGAGGTCCCAGCTCTCTGTCCCTTTAGGCTGTCTCACCACCACCACTATGAAGGGCAGAAGCACCAGTACTCCAGAGGCAGGGTTCTGTTATCTGTATTTAGTCAGTTTCAACAAAAAGAACCCTCCAAACTTATGGGGAACACCTGACCATGACACAGAGATTTGGGCTAGGGAGAGGTGGCAGACTCTAGTGGTGCTCTGCCCATGCCTCCCTGCCATGGCTGTCACGCCGATTGGAATTCCGACAGCCAGCCTTTGGGTCTTTATTGGAGGTCTTCTCTTGAGATCCCAAACCCACTTTGAGCATTCCATACTGGCCAGAATTGCCTGGGAATTAACCAGTGATGGAGGTATAAATATCCCAGCTCGCTTGCCTCTTGGCTAGGAGAATTCTGGAATGCATGTTTTCGATCATTTCCAGAGCTTCCCCACAGAATCAAGCTTTAGTCACCCGCTGTGGTAACTGGCTTAATAATGCACCACTTGTAGGGTCCTTTCCCATCCCTGTATCACCTCCTCACCCTCCTGTCAGTTCCTTGCACCTCTCAGTTGAACTATAAGCACTCAGCTCTTCTCAGGTCTGCTTCCGAGGCAACCTGATGAAGGCGGTAGTCATCCTCAGGGGTAGGGATTCTAAGCCTCTCTAGATGCCTTATCTAGTTCTTGCAGGTGTCAGGGTGTCTGTAGCACGTCCCAGCCAATCCACATATTTTGAATACCATTAATTTCACCCCCCCCTCCCGCATCTCTAACATTTGTCATGCTAATTAGCAAAGCTCTGTTGAGCATATCAAATTATAGAAATACTCCTGGTAGCTGCCTCTGGAGTGGGGACTTCCTAATTGGAATCTAGACTACTAGCCCTGGCATGTGAACCCCTAATGGGTCATTGCCCACATCTAGAGTGTAACTGAACCACAGCACACAAGCATAGTATCGCACTGTCTATGAGGAAGCATTTCAAGAGAAATTGCAGCCATTAGCACAGCCTGTTTGCAGATCAGGTCCCCAGGCAATCTTGGGAGTACAAACAACCCATCTCCTAGAACACATTTCCCTGCTGGAGTCGGCATCATGCCCCTGCTGGAGACTCCAGGTCCCTCCATTCACAGTTGGTGAATTTGACCCTTTGTCCTGTTGGTTCTAAAATCTTTGTGGTCTGTGACAACCTCATCATGAGGGGAGGGGATGGTTGATTTCGTGTACCAGGTTTGTGATTTCCCCTTTGTAGGTTCCATGTGAGCCCTGTAATTTACACCCTTCCAAATGACAGAAAGGAAGTCACTGGTGCTCAGACAACTGTGAAATGGGATTTGCATCAGCCAAAGGGGGAGGGAGGACCACGCTACAATCCTGGTGTTATTTGTAAACCTAAAAAAACCAGGCACATTCTGCATGTCTAGAAGTTCCCAGAGAGGTGTTTTTTCCCTCATTTCTTCTAAGGGCTCAGTGCACTTGGCCCCTTTAGCTGCCTGGAAAGACTCAGGGAAGCAAGTGGGGGTTTATTTCTACAAATCCCTAATTTACAGAGGCTGTAGATCACCTTCTAACTTCACCCTTAAAGAAATCTCAGTAAGAATAATTTGCTATTAAATCAAAATTGAGTGAAGCTATTAGATATTTGAATGGTCATTCACCTTCTGCCTGGTTGTGTTAACACTCTCCCTGCCTCCTTTCCCAATAGGGAAAAGCAAAACATGCCAAGTTTCCCTTCTAAAAATTCACTCTACACATCTTACATCATCCTTCCACACAGAGGCCTTTCTTCTGGGCTCAGATCATTTTAAAATATGAGCTACCTTCATGAATATGAAGATTTAGATGTCTGAAATTTAAAGATATTTCTCTAGTTGACATATTCAAAAAATTGAGTCCTAAGAAGAAATATGTATGACTAGTGAAATTTTTTAAATGTTTGATTTTATTTGTAATCAAAGTGATGTAAGTTTTAACTACCACAAGATGGCATTTTCACCTAGCAAAGCTTAGGAAAATGGCACTAGCTAATAATGATGGGGATGCGGTGACACGGGCTTTTTCAAACACTCTAAATGAGTTTGACTTTTCTGGAGGGCAAGTGAGTAATTTAGACAAGAACCTTTTAGAGGATCACAAACTAAGTCCTAGAAATTCATCTTCAGGAGATAGAGGAGAACACAAAGACAAAAGGGTAAGGACAGTGTTTTCCAGAGAGTGTCCAGAAAATGACCTGGCAGGTGCCTGGAGGCAAAGGTGCTGTCTGGCCAAACTGGTCTGAGCAAGTCTGCATTCCATAGCCCCATCTTGAAGATTCCCAAAGCATATATGCATGTCAAAACTCTTCGTTTTGTTCAATATACTTGTTTCCAAATTTAAGTGTTAATAATACCCTTGTTTTTGGTAATATCTACGTTTCCCTATTTTATTATGAACATTTTCAAACTCACAGAAAAGTTGAAAAAATTATTCAGTGCACGCCCAAACACTTACGATCTAGGTTCTGCAATTAATATCATATACTATGTTACTATTTTGTATTTGGTAACATATATCATTTCCTTACACTTTCCATAACATGCATTTCCATACACTTCCAAACCGTAGATCGATTTTGAAGTCCTAGCACTTCATATAAATGGAATCCTACAGCACATACGCTTTTGTGGAAAGCTTGTTTGACTCAGTGTAGTGTTTTAGAGATTCATCCATTTTGTTGCATTTTTCAGTATTTTATTTTTATTGACAAATAATATTCTCTTGTGTGAATATACTATAGTTTGTTTATCCATTCTTTTTCCAGTCTGCAGCTTTAAATAAGGCTGCTATGAACATTCTTCTGCAAGTCGTTTTGTGGCCACATGCTTTCATTTTCCTTGAAAGTAGGAGTGGAATTCTGGTTCATTGGGTTGATGTATGTTAGTTCTATAAGAAACTGCTAGACCTTTCTCCAGAGTGGTTGCACCATTTACACTCCCACAAACCAGACATGGAATTCCAGTTGCCTCCCATCCTCATCAACACTTGGTGTTGTCAGTCCTTCTTACTTTAGCCATTCTGGTAGGTATACAGTGGTATCTTGTGGTTTTAATTTGAATTCCCCCACTGAGCATTTTTTATGTGCTTATAGGCTATTCAGATATCTTGCTTTGTGAAGTGTCTAGCAGATCTTTTGCCCACTTTTTATGGGTTGTAGTAATATCTATTTTTTAATTGTTACATGTAGCATACATACAAAAGAGTGTAAGAAATACGCAGAATTCAAAGAACACTAATAAAAAGAACCCACAACCCAAAGGGTAAGAACATTGTACTTAACCGTAGCCCGGAAGCCTTTTACATAAAAGGCTTCTCTGATTACACTCCCTTCCCTCCCTTCAGAGTTGAGCATTATTCTAAATTTTATATTAATCATTTCCTTATTTTTTTGTATAGATTTTACCATCCACGTGTGTACCCCTAAATAATACATCATGTTGTTTTGCCTTGTTTTTGAATTTTATATTCTGTGATTTCTTTTGCCCAACATCAGGCTTTTGTATTTATCCATGTTGATACGAATAGCCATAGTTCACTCATTTTCACTACTTTATGTCATTTCATTGTGGTATATTTCATATTAACTCATTCATCTAGTCTATTATTAATGACTTCTGAATTTTCAGCTTTTTTACTATTATGAACAATATTGCTATAAACATTTTTGTAATATCTTTTATTATTCTATGAAACTCATACTCTGTAACATACACTTTGGAAAATACTATATCAACTGCCAATTATAATAGCAAAAAGTTGATAACCTAAATGTTCAATAATAAAGGCATGCATACAGTAGAACAGTATGTAGTATTAAGATTTATGCTTTAGTGTTTATGATTATCAGTTGTTAATTACAACAGTAAAAAAGTAGTAACCATCCAAATGTTTAGTAATAGAGTATTTGTCAAATAAGTTTATGAGGTATGCATTGGAATACCACGTAGAAATAAACACTTATACGTTTGTTATATTTAAGGCCATTTAAAGATGCAAGTAAAATTAGCAAGATATGGTGTTATATAGAGTATGATAAATAATAAAGGTTCGTGTGGGAAAAAACAAACATGGAAACAAAATACTCCAAAATGATAAGAAGAATTAGCTTGTGGTAGAGGGATTATAGATTTTTATTTTATTTCATTTCCTGATGCTTTTCCATATTTTCCAATTTTCCTATAGTTTTATATATAACTTTTAGAGTGAAAAAAAGCAGAAATATTATTTTAGAAAAAGAACTTTGAGTTTCCAAGTACTGCTTTTATCAGAGATCTTTTGAATTGCAGACATCTAAGTTAATTTTTTTTTCCTTTCTGGCAATTGCAGATATTTGAAATCAAAAGTCTCATTTGAGAATAACCTAACATGCCCTGAATTAAATGTGAAGGCCTATTTTCAAATGAGGCCAGAGTTCTGTGCCAGGCTGGGAAACATCATTAGTCTACATTTTCTTTTCCAACCTCAAATTGTTCTTTCTAGATGTTCATATTTTTCAATCCCTTTTTTCTCCTCCCAGTCTCCTGCTCTAGTGATAGCGGCTTCCTGAGATGCTGGATATAGGGAGGGATGCGAAGGTTGGTGTCTAACGTCTATGTTGTGGGTCCACTTAGCCACAGAAGTCGGGAGAGGAGAGCCTGCTGATTGCCTGAGTGATGGCAGGGTCGGTGCAAGACGCCCTGTAAACTCACAGCCTCTCTTTTTCTGCAAGATGGTGAAGATGCAGCGTGTGCCAGGCCCGAAGGACCCAGCGGAGCTGACGTACTACACCCTGTACAACGGAAAGCCTTTGCTGGGGACCGCGGCTGCCAAGATCCTGAGCACCATTGACTCCCAAAGGATGGCCCTGACGCTGCACCACGTTGTCCTGCTGCAGGCTGACCGTAAGGGGAAAGTCTTTTCATTCAGCATTTTCAATGCCGTTACGTTTTTCCCGTGAATCAAAGTGGTTCCCCAAACTCATGTTCATAGTCTCAGAGCTAAATGTATTTCTGTTCTGGAAGGTTCTTACGTAAGTCAATCAGCTGTGTTTCCTGTGTTGTCTGAAGTCATAGACTTTGGGTAAGGGATACGTTTTGCACATTGGAATGACGGTGATGATATCACTTTGCCCCCAAGTCCTACCCATTCTTCCTCCTCAGTATGATCTAGCGAACAGCTATGAAAAATCACTATAACTGAGATTATATTTGTATGCTGGGGGAATTAAAGATAATTAGATTCAACAAACATTTTATAGAGTCCTACGTGAACTGTGCTTAGTGCTAGAGGACGTACAGACATGGGCGAGACCTGCTTCCTACCTTTAAAGAGCAAGGGGAGTTCATGCAGTTGCAACAGAATCAGATGCAGGAAAAAGTGTTTCAGGAAGGCAGTGTGACACAGGGCCCAGCAGAGGGAGGGCTTGCTTTGAAGGGGCATCTGGAAAGAATGAACAGAGGAAGGATATTAAAATAATAGCTGCCTCTTTGAATAGCCTCCCCTGTGGCAGCCACTATGCTAGTTCCTTTACCCTAGATTTTTCTCACCTTCCACTCTCATCGGAGCAATGTTTACTCGGATCCAAACTAGAGGAGAGGAAACAGAGGCTCAGAAAAGTTAAGTAACCTGCTCAGCATCACAGAACAAGTACTTAGGTAGGTAAGATATGCATCTAGATCTGTCTGACTTCGGACCTGTGTTCTTCACTGTATTATACCCTAAGATTTCAGCAGAGGGAGGGGGCTTCCAGAGAGAGAGAGAGAGCAGCATGAACAAAAAGAAGGAGATGAAAAGTACCGAGTGTGCTTGAAAATGAGGAGTTCAAATTGCCTGGAGGAGTCGATGGAATTAGCAGGTGTATTGGTTGGGCGAGTCAGGCCATGAATGGCAGGGGAAGGAGATTGTGCGTACTGTGGTCAGCCGTGGGGTGCTGTTGAAGATTTCTGAGCAGGGGAGTCCTATCACTGGAACTGCCCATTCTTTAGGGAGGTTAATTGGTCCACAGTGTCCAGGATGGGAGGAGAAAGGAGGCAGCATGACCAGTGAGGCTCTATGGTGTCCCAGGCATTGGGGACCCAAACACGGGCTGTAAAGAAAGTGTGGGAAGGGTAAGAAGGTGAGAGATTGGGTGGTACAAATGTTAGTATTTGGCAGCGTGCTGAGCATGGAAGGGCATCTCTCATGGATTTCCTCATTGGTGTTCATGCTCCTCAAGAACCTGACACCTGGCTTGGGGTCTTCATCTCTTCCTCGTCCGTTGCCTTAATCCAGGTGACTTTTGCATCCAGGGCGATGGCCCAGACCGTGCGTTGTCACGCTCGGCCAGCATATCCTCACCCACACACTTTTGCCTGGGAATGAGGATGGCCAGTCTCCAAGCTTGTGTTTGAAATGATGTTTTTAACTAAGGTTCTCTTCCTTTGTACCTCTCTCCTTCCCTCCGTGTGGGTTCTGTCCTGCTGTCTGGTCAGCTCCTTGCTTCATCTGTGTTGCTGCCTGCTCTCCAGGTGGACTCCCCAGGCTTCTGTTCTCGGCTCTTTCTCCCCTCTCCAGGTGGGAAATAAATCGTAGAGAACAGGAGTGAAAACCTTTGCAGATACCAGGCAAGAGATGAAAATGCTAGAGGTGGATGCTCAGAGAAGTGGGTGGATTTGGGATATTTTGGGGGATGGAGCCCATGGAGCAAGACAGTGATTCTGTGTGTGGCAGGAGAAGGAGGTGGGGTCAGGGAAATGAAGGGTGACTCCTAGGTGTTGGCTTGAGCACTGGTTGTGGTGTCGTTTGTGGAGATGCAAAAGATGCAGGACGAAGAGGATTACTGTGGCTGGCGTGGGAATGGGGCAGATGGAATTGAGACTTTGCACTTAGATGTGTCAGGTGTGGGATGTCCACTAGACATCCACGTGGTGCTCAGGAGACAGGAACTTGGCATTTGTCATTGTATAGGTGACATTTAGAGCTAAGGGAGCAGGTGAGAATAACCAGGAGCTGTGTCTAGTGAGAGAGGAAAGGGCACGACTGAGCCCTGGGAAATCGTGTGTGGGAGTAGCAAGAGCCAGCAGGTGACACCGGCCAGGAGCAGCAGGCAGGTGGGAGGACACCCAGGAAAGCGGGGGCCAGAAAGCACACGGAGAAAGTGAATCGCAGAAAAGGGAGTGAGCTCCTGTGTCAGTGTTTGTTCTTAAGAGGCAGAGTACGATACGGATAGAGATTGGTGGGCTTTGGTAAGGGGAGGTCGTGACCTGGGCGGGAGTGGACTCGGGACCAGAGGGGCTGAGGAGAGGAGCCGGGTGCAGAAGTAGTGACGGCAAAGGGGAGAATTTGATTGCTGCAGCACTTGCCGTAGGGCACGTGGCAGATAGTGGTGTGTGCGTGCGCGGATGCCGCGGCGGATGCTGTAACAGACAGTCCTCAAGTGGATGAGGGCTGGGACCTGGTGCAGGGACAAGAGGGAATGCAGAGTACAGGGTGCATTTGGTGATGGAAGCTGGGGAACACTGCCTCTGATTGTTGCTGCTCCCTTGGAGGATAATGAAAGAAAGCTGGCAGCCAAGGCTGAGGTTGTGGGGGGACTTGAGCTGGGGTGCAATAATGTACCCCAAGAATCGGGAGCAGACTGCTTAGAGAAGTGCTGGAAGGTTGGCGGGCCTCCCCACCTCCTTGCTCCTCACTGCCACGTGCAGGCCATTTCTCCCCCTCTTTCAAAATCCCAGATCCTTTGAGCTCCCCCTTCCTCTCTGCAGTCATATGGAGACACCCCCTCAGCCAGGACCCCTCCCCCCATCACTCACTGGAGGCTTTTCCTGGCCCCTTGTCCCGTCCTCTCCATCACTTGTCCCCGAACATCCACTGCTTCGGCCTGTCAGTTCCGTGACCTCCGCATTTCCACCCCAGGCCTTGTGGTGCTTGGGACGGGGGTGACAGCAAGAGTGAGTGGAGTGTCAGGAGAAGAGCTGAGGCTGAGGGGGTTCGCTGGAGGCGGTTGATGGGGAACAGTGGACGGGGTCAGGCGCCTGGGCAGAGGAGAGAGAGATGCACGGAGCCTTTTGGAAGGGAGAGTGCGGGTGGCTCGGGGAGCCAGGAGTGGAGCCCTGCTCTGCCTGGCTGCAAAGCTCCCACCCTGGGACCCTTTCTCCTTCACATCAGCGTGGTCCTCTCAGCTCCCTTCTCCACTCACTCACGGGCCTTTCCCCATTTCCTGGGTCTGTCCCACCTGGACTGTGGCAGTAGCTGCCCAGAGGACTCACCTCCGTCACTCTCCCACGAATGTGCCTTCTACTCCGTAATTGGAGTCATTGTCTTAAAATGCGGATTCTGATCTTACATTGACTGCACTTTAAAAACTATTTGATGGCTCTCGTCATTCATGGAATAAAATCCAACTCCTTAAAACGGGTCTTCACAGCAGGTGCGCAACAGGTGTCCGGGTCTCTGCACAACCTTATTCCGGGGCTGTTTTTCCGTCATAGCTCCTGCTTTTCTCTCCTCGTATCTAATGCTTCAGCCACACGGGAGTGTTCGTCCTGCACGTTCCCTCCTCCTCAAAGCCTCTCCTGGCCCCCGAGGCACAGCCTCCATCTCCCTTAGTTCCAGGGGCTTCCATTGCCCTGCTCACGAATGGCACGCTGTGTTCTGTCTCTTTCCCTCGTGAGCTCTTTAAAGCAGGTGCCTCATCTCACTCGTCTGGGAATATCCAGCCCCGGTTCCTGCCTGGCTCTGTTCTCGTGAAGGCAAAGCCACTGCCCTTCTAGATGCCGCTGCCGAGTGCTGAGAGAGGCACGTGGTGGGAGGACACCGTGGCAGTGAGAGCGGAGCCTTTGCAATAAGGCAGCCGGGCCAAGCCCTGCTCTTCCACTTTCTGGCTGTGGAGCTTGGAGTCAAATTAATTAGCCTCTCTGATCTTCCTTTTGCTCGTAAAATGGCAATATAAAAAACACCTACCTAATGGAGCTACTTAGGGACTTAGAAGAAATAATCATTGCCTGTAAAGGGTTTGGTGCAGTCCGGGGACACCTGTTAGCAGGTAGTAAGTGGCAGCTGAATGTCTTCTTTAGCCATGGGTAGGAGGCCCGAAGGAGGGAGGGAATGAGGAAGAAAGGAGATTTGGAGGTTGAGAACCCACGTGACACAGAGAACAGGGTGCTACTAAAGGGGCTGGAGAGGAGGGCGTTGTTAGAAGGGGGAGGGGGGTCATTTATTGTTCGGGCCTTGTTGAGTCCAAGGTGATGACGACGTATCGAGGGGTGCCAGTGGGCTATTGCAGGGGTGCTGTGGGATATGGAGGGGGTGCTGGTAGGATGTCCTCTGAGGGTTAGGAACGGTGTTGGGAATTCGTATCTAGATCTCTCAAGAGAGATTCAATTTCACACTATAAACTGAGAATTATGTAGATACAGGTTAGAATTAAAATCCCAGAAAAAAAAATGTGAGTTTCTGGGAAAGGAATATAGCTAGTGGATAGAAGAGGAGCACAAGGGGACGGACTTTGGGAAAGACCTCCACTCCCAGGAGTAGATAAGGAGGAAGATGAGGCTGATGAAGAAGAGGCAGCAGAGATTTTAAAGTCCCATTTTCCCCCCATAGTTTCGAAATCAGCCTACAATGTTAATCTGAGGTCAGGACTTTTTTTTAAAAAAAAAAAAAAGAGACAGAGAAAACAACATTAAGACAAGGTGAGATGTCTTGTGGAATATTTTACATACCAACTTAATCAAAGATACAATAAATGTCAATGGTAAGAAAAAAAAAGAGTCACAAAGTGGAACACTTTGTCCCCTGAAGGGAGAGCGTTAACGCTCTGTGTGTCCCAGCGCCCTCCAAACCTCTAGCTCTGGGCCGAGGCAGGGGCGTGCAGTGCCTGCTCAGTCCTCATCACCTCTGGGTGGGGGGCAGCACCAGACTC